GGTTTAGGGTTTAGGGTTCTTCACCACCACGACCGCCAGCATCATCATAACTCATATTCGTCAGGGCCACCATCACCGCTCTCGTCATCCCCGTCTTTATCACCGTCATGACATGCATTATGATATCCGTGAACATCGTCATCGTTATCGCCGGCTGCTGCAACATGCAAACATGAACACAGGCTTAAATCAAGCGTTCGGGCGATTCGTGGCCTTCGGCTAGTGGATCCCCACTGAGTATCACACTCTTATGACATCTTATGACCATCACTCCAAAGTGACCGTATGTCATCCTCTAAACCGGCTTGTGTTTTCGACGATGCGGAGTGTCAGATACACCGCCTAACAACTTCCCTATACATTTGCTGGGGGTTCCTTCATGTAATTATACCACAATGGGCCCCAAAACCCTGTTGATTCTACGGCTCCTACCCTGAAGCCCTGAAGCCCTACACCTTAAACTCTCAACCCTCTGGACCCCAAACCCCTACTAAAACCATAAACCAAAACCGTAACCCATCCCTGTACGGCCTAAGCCATAAACCCCAACAGGTTAACCTTGCTTGTAGAGCCCGTTTAAACAGCAAACAGTCTTTAGGGTTTAGAGTAGGGTTGTGGGTGTAGGGCTAGGGTAGCATGCCTTTGCAGCACCTAAAGCAACCCTAAACCCTAGACCCCTAACCTCAAACCCCTAACCCCCTGAATCTCTAAACCCTAGACCCCTAAACCCCTAAATCCGTAAACCCCTAAACCATGAGCCCTAAACCCTCAACTCTAAACCCCTTAAGCCCTGAACCCAAGGATTGGATGAGCTCCAAACGGATCCAACTGCTTCGTCCTTCTTTGCCGAGCCGAAGGACTTCTCAGGCAAGGCGGCTTTGTGGGGGGTTTGGGGGTTTAGGGTTTACGGTTCAGGGGCTTGGGAACAAGGGACCCTGTAGAGGAACCCCTAAACCCCCAAAAAAAGACCCTTAAAGGAGCCTTTTAAGGAACCCTGAAAGGAACCCTTAAAGGAAGGAGGCACCCTTTGAAGAAACCCTGAAACCCTCAACCTTTACCCTGAAGGGAGCCCTTGCAGGAACCCTGTACGGCACTCGTTTAAAGAGACCCCAAACCCTAAATCGGACTTTGCGACAATTAGGGTACCTTATTTTGGGGTCCTTACAATCCTGTTATTTTGGGTGCGATATTAGGATCCCCTGTTTTCGGAAACCCCCAACTCCTAGACCTGTAAGGAACCCTAGACCTCCCGTTAAGGGACCCTTTTCGGGAACCCGTTTGACGCGCCCCTGTCAAGGAGCCCCAAACCCAAGATCTTGATTAATTAAGGCACCCCCTAAACCCCATAAACCCTAAATCCTGAACCTAAACCCTAAACCCGAAACCCTATAAACCCTAAACCCTATAAACCCTAAACCCTTTAAACCCTAGACCCTAAACCCTAAACCCGTTTAAGGCGCCCCCTTAAAGGAACCCCGAACCCAGAGAACCCAATACCCCTTAATTAAGGCATATAACTTCAATCATGATAAGAAGGCCCCTATAATTTAAAGGAGCCCTAAGAGGAACCCTTAAAGGAACCCTTGAAAGTGCCCCTTTAAAGGAACCCTAAACCCCAAACCCCAATACCCCAAACCCTAATACCCTAATACCCTAATACCCTAAACCCTAAACCCTATAAACCCTACTTTACAGGAACCCTAAACCCCAAACCCTAAACCCTATAAGCCTACTAAAGGAACCCTAAACCCTAAACCCTAAACCCTTAAAGGAACCCTAAACCCTAAACCCTATAAGCCCTACTTTAAAGGAACCCTAAACCCTAAACCCTAAACCATTAAAGGAACCCT